CGGTCTGTTAAGAGTCTGGTCTGTTGGAGTCCGGTCTGTTAAGAGTCCGGTCTGTTGGAGTCCTGTCTTTTGGAGTCTGGTCTGTTAAGAGTCCGGTCTGTTGGAGTCCTGTCTTTTGGAGTCTGGTCTGTTAAGAGTCCGGTCTGTTAGAGTCCCGTCTGTTGGAGTTCGGTCTGTTAAGAGTTCGGTCTGTTAAGAGTCTGGTCTGTTAGAGTCCGGTCTGTTGGAGTCCAGCCTGTTGGAGTCCGGTCTGTTAAGAGTCCGGTCTGTTAAGAGTCCGGTCTGTTGGAGTTCGGTCTGTTAAGATTCTGGTCTGTTGGAGTCCGGTTTGAGGTCTCAGGTTGAAGGTTCTTTCTCAGCAGTCAAACAAACAGAACCTCAGAATTTTTCTTCAAACCAAAGAAACAAAACCCCAAACTGGACCAGAGGTTCTGGGTCACCTTTGAGCAGCAGTGGGGTGAATGGGATAAGGGGAGGTCTCAGGCTGGTGATAAGGTCTCTGTAGGACTTGTGGTTCCTGGATGGGTCCTGCAGAACAAATGGACCAGAGATGAGCCTTATCTTAATGACCCGGACCAGTTCTGAGGAAAGCGGACCGAGCAGAACCAACAGAACCAGGTTTACTCACCGCGACGCTCTCAAACTGCTGGAACTGCTTCCTGAACTTTCCTGGGAGACCCTGAAAGAACCAGAACCGGTTTCATGATCAGAACAGGAAGTAGTTTAACACATGAACAGAACTGAGTCAGAACAGGTTCTGGTTGTTTTCTGGTTCAGCCTCTGATGGAGACCTCAGACGTTCCTCCTCAGAGGATCTGGACCTGCCGGGTCGTACCTCCCAGGTGAGTCTCAGTCTGCTGATGGCGGGGTTATCCAGACCCAGAACCACCGCAAGGAAGGACAGCAGGTCCTGCTGCTGTTTGCACCTGAAACACAAATGGGTCAGCCATTCAGAAACAGGAAGTTTGGGTTTTCAGACTGACACCGGGTCAGGAACCAGATCCTTTGGTTTCATAAGAATCAACGTTTTATCAGCTGAGAAATTGTTTTTCCTTTTATCAAGAAAATGCACTCAGCCTCTAGACCGGATCAGACTGAGCAGAACTCTGATGGACTTTAAACAGAACCAACTAGAACCCCCCACCCCCCAAAAAAATGGAACCAAGAAGTACCAGCTTGAACTAACCAGAACCTAGAGAGGAGAACCGTGCTTTCATCCAATCAGCCAGCAGTCTGTTTCCATGGAAACAAGTCAATAAATACATAATGTCTTGCCATACTTCTCAATAAATAGACTAATATCTTGCCATAGTACACAAATGTTTTGATGTACCTATAAATAAATACATAAATGCCTTGCCGTTCTCTTTTCTCTATGCTGCTGCTGTGGATCGTAGCAGGAAACTTTTCCAAACAGCTGATGTGGAACAAACGGGCAGAACCTTAAGCTCCTGGGTTTCATCAGAACCGTTCTTGCTTTGCTTTGATGTAGAGAACTTTAGGACGTATTGTCTTCTGACGATGAAAACGCAGTTAAATAAAATGTGCGCCTACTTCGTGTGACGACCGTGCTCTTTCCCAGAATGTTTGGATTGTGAAGGTTCTGTTTGAACAAATGGACCGGGACCCCCCCCAGCACCCTGAACCTGGGTTCTCCTCAGGTGACGAGTTCGGACTCACAGCGCTGCGATCTTGATGAACTTGCGGAGCAGCTGGATCCTCTTTGGCAGCGACTGGCACTGCAGGATCTCGGTGGCGACCCAGTGCTGCACCTCGCTGCAGCGCTGCAGAACCAGCTCCAGGTTCAGGGGGCGCCAGCGGGCCTGCTCGCCGTGAAACACGTAACACACGAACTCCACCTGCAGGAGACACACGGGCGGGTTCTGAGCAGAACTTTAAGAAAAGGCTTTCAGAAGGAGTTCAGAAGTCTCTTTTCACAAAGCAGGAAATTTAAACTTTAAATAATTCTTAAAATAACTTTTCTGAACGTGTTTGTATTTAAAATGTTAACGTTTCAAGTCTCTGGATGAGAGTTTCCATGGCAACAGGCGGTTCAGCTTTCAGTCCAGACCCGCGTCCAGGTTCTGAGACTCTTACGAACCTCGTGGACGCAGCTGAACAGCTCCCAGTCGAACGCCACCAGCTGACTGGCTACTTCTTCTGCTGACATGTCGTGAAGTTTGCTGTCGCCCGGCGTCCAGTGGATCTCCTCAGGAAGAGGAAGCTGAGGGGACAGGAAGTGACATCATCAGATTCAAAGCAACCAAAACGAAATGTTAAAATGAACCCACTGCAAAGCAAAGTAAACTGGTTTCTCTCTGAATAAAACTGGTTTTACTCTGAATCTAAATGGTTTCACTTAGAATCTAACTGATTTCACACTTAATAAAACTGGTTTCACTTAGAATAAAACTGGTTTCACTCTAAATAAAACTGGCTTCACACTGAATAAAACTGGTTTCACTCTGAATCTAAATGGTTTCACACTGAAAACGGGTTTCACACTTAATAAAACTGGTTTCACTCTGAATCTACAGTAGTCCCTCGCTACTTCACAGTTCGACTGTTGTGGACTTGCTCTTTCACGTTTTTTCAAAGATTGTACACGACAACATTTTAAAAATTTGTACATGACACACAATTGTCAACTTTAATTACTACTCACGTGATTGGGACAGTACGGTATACCATACAGTGAAAAGCTAACAAAAAGAAAAATTTTGGACAGGCGCCGCCATTTTGTAGTTTTCTCTCAATAAGCATACACTGTATCGCCACTCAAAATGACTAAATTACCCAGAAGTCAACAGTGCTTCGAGCTGTTGCTTTCTGCTGAAATGAAGAGAAAGTTTTGATCAGATCGGAAAAAGTTCGGTCCTTATTCATAGTGACTTTATCGCCCAGCAGATGCAGAGAGCCGATCAAAACCGGACCAGAACTACTTCCAGCCTCATTGGTCAATCTGAGAGCTGCTGGCCGGCCCACGAGGCCTCTCGAGTGGGGAGGCGTCGCTTGGAGGTCCGGTGTCTTCTCCTGAGCTCACCGGGACTTTTTTCATCGGATTTCTCTGGATTATTTGGACTCGATCGGGACCATTGTGGGATTTGTGCTGGCTCTCCCAAGGTCCAGCTCTCTCTAAAAGCGTCTTGGCCCTCAGCGGCTGCAGACAGATGATCAGAACCGGACTGAGGCTGCTGAGTACAGTACCGATATGAAATTTTGCAGAACTATAAAGTACATGTACGCATGTTGTTAAAATGACGTAGGTTCAAAAGTTTAGAACGTTGCAAGAGTGTGGGAGGGGTCTCTAAAGCCTTAAAAGATACAAAAATAAATATAACGTTTCTACTTTGTGGTTTTTCATTTTACTTAATGCGGGGGGGGGGGGGGGGGGGTCTGGAATGTAACCCCCGTGATCAACGAGGGACTACTGTAACTGGTTTTATTACGTGAACAGTGAACAGATCAGAACCTGACCAGAGAGTCCAGTTCAGACGGCTCGCAGGCAAACAGGTGAGTGTTGACTCCCAGCGTGGTGAAGACGGCCTCATCGCTGGGTCGGAACACGGCTTTTTCTGAAAACACGTCACACACTCAGAAACCTGTTAAAGTGTGTATGCACGAGTGTGTGTGTGTGTGTGTGTGCCGACCTCCGGCTGATGTGACGGCCACCAGAATCAGGTTTCCAGGCAGAACCGGCTGGTCTTCGCTGTACTGAAGTTTCTCTTTGACCAGAGCCAGAATCTCTCCGACTCGACAGGACAGGCGGCTCCGGATGGTGACGTACGAGTGATCCGGGGTGTACACCCTGCAGAAAACTACACACACGCACACAGATACGCACAGATGAGCAGTGAGATTCTGGCTCCCTCTGCAGGACATCATTGGAACTGCAGCACCAAGAACAAATAAAGGTTCAGTCCAGGTTGTTGTTGGTGTGTGTGTGTGTGTGTGTTCAGGGTGTGTCGGCATGTCATTTGTATATCTCAACCACAGATTGCAGCTGTGTTTGCATGTTGATTGTGGGTGTGTGTTTACAATCCCCAGTGTGCAGCAGCTTTTGTGATTTGTACGTGCACAGGTGTGTGTGTGTGCAGTGATCTGCGGGTGCCGTACTCTCGTCGGAGCCTCTGAAGGCCTCGCGGGGCTGCAGACAGGCGTCGATACGCCTGAAGTGTCTGAACAGAGGCCGGACCTGCTTCTTCCTGCTCTCCTTCTCCTCATCGGTGCTGGAAAACCCAAACAGGCATCAAATAAACACGTGACGATACAGAACAACATGTTCAACACGTGACGATACAGAACAACATGTTCAACATGTGACAAAACAGAACAACATGTTCAACACGTGACGATACAGAACAGCATGTTCAACACGTGACGATACAGAACAACATGCTCAACACGTGACGATACAGAACAACATGTTAAAATAAACGTGTTAAAATAATGAGGGCAAGCGTTTAACCACATGCTGCTCAGCACCAATTGTGTTTAATACAAACTCGTCTGTAAAGAACAAAATGTTCTGTTTGGTTCCTTAACACTCCACACAGAACCTTCGGAACATCTCTGCAGAGCCTTCGGAACATCTCTGCAGAGCCT